GGGACTGAGGGCCATACTGGGACTGAGGGCCATACTAGGACCATACTGGAACTGAGGGCCATACTAGGACCATACTGGAACTGAGGGCCATACTGGGACTGAGGGCCATACTAGGACCATACTGGGACTGAGGACCATACTGAGACTGAGGGCCATACTAGGACCATACTGGGACTGAGGGCCACACTGGGACTGAGGGCCATACTGGGACTGAGGGTCATACTGGGACCATACTGGGACTGAGGGCCACACTGGGACTGAGGGCCATACTGGAACTGACGGCCATACTAGGACCATACTGAGACTGAGGGCCATACTAGACCATACTGGAACTGAGGACCATACTGGGAGTGAGGGCCATACTGGGACTGAGGGTCATACTGGGACCATACTGGGACTGAGGGCCATACTGGAACTGACGGCCATACTAGGACCATACTGAGACTGAGGGCCATACTGCGACTTAGAGCCATACTGGAACTGACGGCCATACTAGGACCATACTGAGACTGAGGGCCATACTACGACCATACTGGAACTGAGGACCATACTGGGAGTGAGGGCCATACTGGGACTGAGGGCCATACTGGGACTGAGGGTCATACTGGGAGTGAGGGCCATACTGGGACTGAGGGCCATACTGGGAGTGAGGGCCATACTAGGACCATACTGGGACTGAGGGCCACACTGGAACTGAGGGCCATACTGGGAGTGAGGGCCATACTGGGACTGAGGGCCATACTGGGACTGAGGGTCACACCGGAACTGAGGACCATACTGGGACTGAAGGCCATACTAGGACCATACTGGGACTAAGGGCCATACTTGGACGATACTGGGACTGAGGGCCACACTGGGACTGAGGGCCACACTGGGACTGAGGGCCATACTGGGACTGAGGGCCATACTGGGACTGAGGGCCACACTAGGACCATACTGAGACTGAGGGCCACACTAGGACCATACTGAGACTGAGGGCCACACTAGGGTTGAGGGCGATACTAGGACCATACTGGAACTGAGGACCATACTGAGACTGAGGGCCATACTGGGACTGAGGGCCATACTAGGACCATACTGAGACTGAGGGCCACACTAGGACCATACTGAGACTGAGGGCCACACTAGAACCATACTGAGACTGAGGGCCACACTAGGACCATACTGAGACTGAGGGCCACACTAGGACCATACTGAGACTGAGGGCCACACTAGGGCCATACTGAGACTGAGGGCAACACTAGGGCCATACTGCGACTGAGGGCCACACTAGGACCATACTGGGACTGAGGGCCACACTAGGGTTGAGGGCGATACTAGGACCATACTGGAACTGAGGATTATACTGGGACTGAGGGCCATACTGTGACTGAGGGCCATACTGGGACAGAGGGCCATACTGGGACTGAGGGCCATACTGGGACTGAGGGCCATACTGAGACTGAGGGCCATACTGAGACTGAGGGCCATACTAGGACTGAGGGCCATACTAGGACCTTACTGGGACTGAGGGCCATACTGCGACTGAGGGCCATACTAGGACCATACTGAGACTGAGGGCCATACTAGGACCATACTGGGACTGAGGGCCATACTGCGACTGAGAGCCATACTGGAACTGAGGGCCATACTAGGACTGAGAGCCATACTGCGACTGAGGGCCATACTAGGACCATACTGGGACTGAGGGCCATACTCTGACCATACTGGGACTGAGAGCCATACTGGGACTGAGGGCCATACTAGGACCATACTGGGACTGAGGGCCATACTCTGACCATACTGGGACTGAGGACCATACTAGGACCATACTGAGACTGAGGGCCATACTAGGACCATACTGGAACTGAGGACCATACTGGGAGTGAGGGCCATACTGGGACTGAGGGTCACACTGGAACTGAGGACCATACTGGGACTGAGGGCCATACTAGGACCATACTGGGACTGAGGGCCATACTGTGAT